CTAATGACAGAAACACTATATTCACACCCTTCAATTCACAAAATGATAGAATTTAAAGAGTGAAGTAAGAGATTGCAAGAAATTTAAGAGATTAAAGAATATCAATTTGTGAAAATGATGTGTTTATTGAGGATATTTATACGGAGAAAAAAAAAATTAAAAGTAGATAGTCTGTATGACATTGAACAACAATGACATCATGGGTGTATACTATAGAGCGAAACGATTTCGCGTTTTAGGATTTTGTAACCCTCTTTTCGAGAATCATCCAAATTCGATCAAAATCAAGTCAACCAATTTGACTTAGTTCGACTCTAATTAAATTTAGAGCCCATTTGAGTCCCTATTTTCTCATAATGCATTTTTGAATTGTATTTTAATGAAGAATGACAGAACGTGCAATTAAAAAATAAGGAAAAATTTTGAATTTGCGTGTAATATTATTTTATTGAAAAATACGTAATTGAAAATAAGACAGAAAAAATGGAAAATGGCCACTTCACTCTGTGCTTGGGATGAAAATTCTCCGATTGATTAGAAAAATAGAGTAACACTTGAGATTTTTCAATCCTCTCCTGACCTTGACCCTACCTCCCGCATCCCACCCCACACCAATTACTTTTTATTTATAGATAATCAAAATTTGTGTAAAATTACTTTAGCCCAACCTTTTTATCCCAAACCCGAACCGATTGCCAAGTCAATAGCCTAATTCCGAGTCAAATGTTTCAATAATAACCCATTTATACCATGATTATTGTTTACTCATTAAATTTCAAAGTGTTTCACAGTGCTTATTAAACTTTTTTCATTTGCACTTCATACCTCACCTTAAAAAATTCATAACCTTATTCGCTGACTGGCTAATAGAAATCTCACATGGTAAGTTACGACTATTAAAATAATTACAACTCAGACAAACTATTGTTTCATTACTCATCCAACTTATACTTGGTCACAGTTCACTCATCAAAATCCAAAATGCTTCTCAATGGTCACTTATCTTTTCATCCGTCAGATTTCATTCCCTTCGTTGTTAATTTATCGTACAGAAATCACACGTGCAAGTTACGATCATTAAAACATTACAAGTTAGCCAAATCTTCAACTCATTAAAATCACCTTATATGAAATACGATTTTCACGACCCCATGAATTTCTTTAAGCCCAAATAAAGTGTCTCCAATTTCAACACTAAAAACCATTAATCCCTGGACTCACTTTTCTCACCTATGTACTACTAAATTGTGTAATAAGATGGAGATGCAAGAAGCTACTACTTATAAATCTCTATCCCCAATTATATCATCTACTCGACCCTCCCTAATCCCAATCTTTCATTTTAGCAGGCGCTTGTCCAATTATTTGAGGAATGAAATGTCATCGAATTCCGACAATAGGTGTACGGCTGGGATACCTTCTGGGTTGTGTTCGTGTTTGTTATTCTTCGTTTTTCAATTTGACCGGAGTTTGATGACATATCATTCCTCAAATAGTTGGATACATGCCTAAATGGAAGATTGAAATTAAAGAGGCAACGAACACATCGCATAATTGGGGATATGACTTTATGAGTAGTAGCTTCCCGCGTCTTTCTCATGAATCAACTATGTCTTATTACAAATTTAGCTATAGTGGGTGAGATGAATGAATTGGGAGCTAGGTTTTTTAGGATTAAAATTAGGGACAAATTATTGGGGATTAAAGAAATTTATGGGGCTGTGGAAGTCGTATTTCACATATGATGGTTTTGGTAAGTTTTGGTTTGTATGAGTTGTAAAATTTTTAAAGATCATAATTTGCTACGTGCGATTTTCGTGCGATATGTTAGTAATGAAAGGAGCGAAATCTAGGGGATGATGGATGAAGTGCAACGTCTCAAAAATGGATGACCATTGAGAAGTATTTTGAAATTTGATAAGTAAACCTTGACCAAGTATAAGTTGGATGAATACTAAAATATTAATTTGGCTAAGTTGTAATTTTTTTAACGATCGTAATTTGCCACGTAGAATTTTTGTTAGTCTTGTAGGCTATCAGATAACAGATTTGTTAGGGTGATCAATGGAATGCAAAAGGATAAAATTTAGTGAGCACCGTGAAAATACTTTAAAATTTAGTAAGTAAATCGTGACTATGATATAAATTTGATGATTATTGAAATATTTAACTCCTTAATTCCCAAAAGATATTGAGCCCTTGTTTAAGCCCCATTTTGGGGAAAACTGCATTTTAGAATAGTAATTTTGGGATAATGTGTGATTTAAAATGGATTTCAAAAAATAATTTTTTGAAAAAATGAGACTCAAACAAGCAATAAATTTACAAAGAAAAAAATTATATATATATAATCCCTGTGTCGCCTCCTTAAATAGGGATTTGAGCACGGGGGACAATTAAGGAAAATGCCTCACGTACAGGAGTCATTTTCACAGGGGCTTGCTAGGTCTCTCACACTGGCGGGCCCCACATGTATTTAAAAAAAAAAAAAAACTCACCCCCCTCCTTGCATGTGAGTGCCTGTAAAATTACCCATCCCTGTAATTGTAGCAAAGCCCGACAATTAAATCCCTGTTTTCTGTCCCGTTAACATCCCTGTCATGCCTTTATGAGAGGTAAATCTAAGTGAATTTATGTCCACACCTCCCTACTTCACCCGTTACCGTTCGTACCATATTAATAAGGTATCTAGTTTCTGTACTAATGTAAACCCTACCATGCCTCACACATTGTACCTGCTCTCATGGGAAATAGATCCAAGTGAATTTATGTACACATCTCCCTGCTGTGCTATACAACAAAGTATCTACTGTCATGGGAAGTTTCCATTTGTGTAGATTTGTTTGAGAATCATTATTTTAATACTCCTTTTCTACGTCTTCTTTTTCAATCACTTGTTTCTATAATAAAATATTATACACATATATTCAATTTTTTTCCTATTTTTTACCCACAAATTTTTAAAAAATCACTATTCAAAATATTGCCTTTTTTTACGTACTCATTTTCAGTCACACATTTATATAATAAAATATTATACACATAAATTCAAAAAAAAATTCCTATTTTTTAATCACACATTTTTTAAAAATCACTATTCAAAATATTCTTTTGGCCAAATTAACTTATAATTTAAAAATATTAACTTAAAAGTTTAAGTAGATATTTAACTTTACTTAATTTTTAAGTTATATATTAACTTATATGTAAAAAAATACCTATAGCAATATCACTTATGAAAAAAAAAACATAAAAGAAATTATAAATTGAAAATTTTAGTAAAGGAAATATATATATATATGTAATTTTATTCTTTTAAAAAAATTTCAGGATCGGTGGATAAAAAACTCTCAAGTAGTCAAGTATAGGTTAGACAATTTTAAAAATCGTTATTAAAATTATTCAAAATTTATAAACGCTCAAAATCGATACTAAAAATACGCTGTCCAACCTCCTGAGTCAGCCCTAAAATTGTGAGTGTGTTTGGTAGAGATTTTTGAGGGAAGAATTGATTTTTGAATAGTGATATGATGGGAAATGTGTGGTTGAAAAAAAAGAAAAAAGTATTGATGTGATGGAAAATATTATTTTATTGAAGAATATGTGGTTAAAAATGAGAATTGATTTACTGTAGAAAATGAAAATTTTTAACAAACATGCTCNCTGTAGAAAATGAAAATTTTTAACAAACATGCTCTGTATTTCTTCACTACGAGTGAATTTATGTGCACAGCTACTCCTGTCTACTCAAACCCGAACGTCAAGATAGAATCTTCCATGAAACCCCATTAAGCGTGCCACCCTTTTCATTGAGTTAAATAAAGAAAACATCATTTGTTTTTTTCTTGAAGTTTAAATATTGATCAAAGTTTTTTGGATTCCGTATCGAGAAAGAAATATCATTTGTACAGTTGTGTGAATTCAATGGAGAATACTGCCCAAAAGTTAAAGACCTGCCAATGAGAACAAGATGCGTTCACATTCTTCACTTCTCCGCCACTTCATCTTATATATTACACAAGGGTTTCTTTCATCCCTCATCTCTCGCGCACAGCACGCACTTGAATACGAAGTCGTGGAATGAAGCAGAAAACTTAGTTATCAGATTTCATTCATTTGGGAATTCTGGATTCTTGCTGTATGCTAAGGTAAATTGTTGAAGCTCTCTCACGTTTGTTTATGGGTTTTGTGTTTGTTTTCGTATTTAATAAATATGACATTTTACCCTTGTCAGATGAGGACACGAATCTTGAAATCCAACCTCTTGTTCGTGTAAATGCCTGATTGAGATTTTTGAGATCAGTTGAGCTTGGGCTTTTATCTTAAAAGGAACTTTTAGAGAGAAACTTCTTCATATTTAATTAACATGGGATTTTAACTTAGCAAAACCAATCTTGTTTACATTGTTTATGAGTATTTATGCATTATATATATGATTTGTATAACTTAGCAAAACCAATCTTATTTGAATGTTTTGAATTGATTTAGTAATTGAGTTTCAATCAAAATCATGTCATTACCTAATCGTAACGCAATAATTGAATGGACCCTCTTTCCTGTTTTGTCAGTTATCACACATTAGGTCGTATTCCAGACATCCCATGGCATACGCAGTCGGTCAGATTCTGACATTAATTTGTTTTTTAATTTTTGCCCTTCTTTTGTACGTACATATCTCAACAAAAGCATCGTTGTTGTCAATATTTATAGATTTATCTAATGCTTACCAATTCTTAGTGCTTTGGAGTTCTGCTGTAAGCTGTTAAATTAGACTCCAGTCTTTATATTTCAATTTATTGATCATTTCATTTAGACGATTATATTGAAATTTTCATTTCCCCCTTGTTAGACGTATAATACTTTTTCTTATTCCTAATACTAATCTTGGTTTCTTAATATGTTTGTTTATGATATAAAGAAATATTTACACGGATTATTTCATTAATGAAGGAAACTGTGACATCTTATTGAGGTATACTCTGGCTACTTGGTAGAGCATGATGACTAGATCACTTCGAATGATTTGGTTTCCAATATTGCTGTTACTCCTGCTAGAGAACAGTAAAGGAGTATTTTCAGCTTCGAAGTACTTAATTGGGCTCGGAAGCTATGACATTACGGGGCCAGCAGCTGATGTCAACATGATGGGATATGCTAGCACAGACCAGATTGCTTCTGGAGTTCACTTTAGGTTGCGAGCTCGTTCTTTCATTGTAGCAGAACCACAAGGAAATCGGGTTGTATTTGTGAATCTCGATGCTTGCATGGCCTCACAACTGGTGACAATTAAAGTACTTGAGAGGTTGAAAGCAAGGTAGTCAAATTAAGTTTTACCCTCCGCATCCCCACCTGGTTTGCTATATATATTGTGGTGCCTAAGTGATTTTCTATGCGTTGAGTTGGTAATACTTGTGCAAACAAAAAAGTAAATTAGAATGTTGTTGCTTTAAATATCTCAGTAGATCTAGACTTCTAGTAAAGAATAGACCGGAAAGGAAGATAAGGATTCACCTAGATGACTCCAATGTATTGGGAATAAGGCTTAAATTGTTGCTATTTGTTGTAGACACTTTCTGTGTTGTTAATGTTGTGGATATCAAATTAAGCATATCCTTGTTGCTTTTCTAGGTATGGAAATCTTTACACAGAAAGTAATGTTGCTATTAGTGGAATTCACACACATGCCGGCCCCGGCGGTTATCTTCAATATGTTGTATATATCGTCACATCACTTGGTTTTGTGCGTCAATCTTTTGATGCTCTTGTTGATGGAATTGAGCAGAGCATTGTACAAGCTCACAGTAACCTTCGTCCTGGATCAATATATGTGAACAAAGGTAATGGAATGTGATATTTAGACTCATAATCCATGATGAATAGTAGTTTTCTTATTTATGTTTGATTGAGTTGTCGCTGTTTCATTCATATATGTGTAAGGAAAGAATGTAAGATTTTTCTTTTGTAATTAGTCTTTCCTTCTATCGTATGAAATGTGCATTAGAGAAATAATTCCGATGAATCAATTGTTCAAATCCAGCCTCCAGGGTCACTTTCAACATGTTTTCCTTCTCATATTGTGGTGTTATAAATGGACCTTCTGGGTACCCATCTTGCAGCATTTTGTAGTCCGTATCTTACTAAATAAAGTTTCATTTTTAAACACTCTGAAGCTTGGGCGCAGTATGTTCTGTTGCTGCTAAAGCATGTTCGCTATGGACATAATTTTGAGGAAAGCATATGTTATCTCATGAAGTAATTTTTCATTTGATTCATTTGGCATATGATATTTCCCTGGGTGATGTTTGCTAACTATGCTATTGTTCCACAGTGAAATACTATAGAATTGGTTCTACATTTTCCTTAGTTCGTGTGGATTATACATTTTAAGGCTATATATTTGTTAACTAAGAGCGTAATATCTTTAATTAACTTTTTATTCTATTCAACCCCAAGTTTCTTTATGTTTTCCGATCTTGAATTGAACTTAAACATACCTTTATTAGCTTGTCTCATACTCAAGGTCGTGGATTGTTTTTAAAATAACTTCTCATTTTTACTCCAATTGTTCAACTGCATATTATCAAGTGCCATCGATAGCAGAATAACTATGGATCACTTCGTTTAGCCTGCTCTGTGTTTGATTTTATGGTTCAAACTGTTATGCCCGTTTCTGGGAAATGACGTTCAAGCGTGTGTGAGTGGTATCTTGAAGAAAATTGTGGGTAATCTCTCTTTTTGACCTCTATATATTATTGTGATCAGTTTTGGCCTCAAACTACAGGTGAACTTTTAGATGCTGGGGTTAATCGTAGTCCAAGTGCTTATCTCAATAATCCTGCAGAAGAACGCAGGAAATACAAATATGACGTCGATAAAGATATGACCCTTTTGAAGTTTGTTGATGATGAATGGGGTCCAGTCGGTAGCTTCAATTGGTTTGCTACCCATGGAACTTCTATGAGCCGTACAAACTCATTGGTAAGTGGGGACAACAAAGGAGCTGCTGCACGTTTTATGGAAGACTGGTTTGATCAGAACAATAGTCGAAAGATACTTTCTTATATATCCAATGCTGAAGATACCCCATTGACAGCCTCAAACATTATTCCAGTTCATGAAAATCGTAAGTTTCTACATACTTATCTGAATAATTATCTATTTTATGCATAAAATACAATAACAATTTTCAAAATTGACTTGTAGAACATTGTGATCATGTGTTTCCTGTTCTTAGATCTCTGATAACACGGTTTTGACTTGAAAAAGTCTTATACCATATCTAGCTACTTACTATTTTGAATTATGAAAGCATTTTACCTTGGAGCATTGTTTATGCATTTAGGTTCTTGTTTTCTGCCAATATTCCTGACTGATCCAGGGCAGGGTACTGTTTCCTGCTTAGTGCTGGCTATGGAACCTCTTCAAGTCCATTGCTTTGGCTATAGTTAACTAAAACCTAAGTTCCTTAGATTTTATATAGCTTAGCTAAGTTCTTTCTCAATTAATACTTTACAGTACTGTGCAGGAATGGATGTGTAAAGTGGGCATAAAAGTATGTTAGTTTGTGCTTACTCGTTGTGGTTTTTGTGGTTGTTTATTAGTCAAACTCACCTGTTTGCGTAAGTAAAACTTTAATTACTTTCTGGAAAAGTAACTTTTAATCATAGCCAACAAGCTCTAACAATATCATCCGTGATAATGGACGAAAGAATTTCAACTGATTCACGCTTATCTATCTTTGTGGCTGTCTAAATACAGATCATGAATTACATGAACTTGCTGATTCTTTCCAATCTGGTTCGGGCAAACCAATACGTGTAAGGAGTACTCTCAGTCAAGCTGGTAGGCCTAGATTTGTGTCAGCATTTTGTCAAACCAATTGTGGGGATGTTAGCCCGAATGTGCTCGGGGCCTTCTGCATAGATACCGGATTACCTTGTGACTTCAATCATAGTACCTGTGGTGGGAAGAATGAGTTATGCTATGGGCGAGGTCCTGGGTATGCATATTTTCACAGTTTGAGAAAGTTTGGCTAATCTTTCGAAAAACAACAAAATTAATTATTTCAAAACTTACTTATGTACTTGACTTTTTAAGCTTAGACAAACATGCTCTTTGTCATATGGCAGAAATAAAATCGCCCGCACATTATCCTGAAATTATAATCTCGTCTCTCTTGCATGGCAGATACCCGGATGAGTTTGAAAGTACACGTATCATTGGTGATAGACAATTCAAAAAAGCAGTGGAACTTTTCAACAAAGCATCAGAAAAATTAAATGGAAAGGTCGATTATCGCCATACTTATCTGAACTTCTCCAACCTTGAGGTGACAATTTCTAAACAGGGTGGAGGTACTGAGGTTGTGAAAACCTGTCCAGCTGCAATGGGGTTTGCATTTGCTGCTGGTACAACTGATGGACCTGGTGCTTTTGATTTTAAGCAAGGAGATGACAAGGTACTGCTGTTTGATGCATGTTGTATAATCACAGCTCTATGCTATCATTTAGCAAAGTGTTTACTCTCTCTCTCTCTCTCCAGGGGAATGCATTTTGGAGGCTGGTAAGGAACTTACTTAAAACACCAGACCAAGAACAAGTTGATTGTCAACGTCCAAAGCCCATTCTGCTTGATACTGGTGAAATGAAATTTCCTTATGATTGGGCGGTGAGTTACCATAATGGTATTTTTTATTTTCTGTTATCGTTTGATTTTGCAATCTTTTAGACATTTTGCAATAGAAAGCAAATTGCGATCCGAAAAAGTCTTTCTCTTCAATTTTTGTCTCCACGAGTAAATAGTAATCTTCTTTTACATGATGTATAAACAGCATGAGCCTGAAATGTTAATAGTTATTGTTTTGTTAGCTAGAATTTCTTAATAGATATCACATAATTAATGCAGATGTTTCCATAAATTTTTTTGTTCTATTGATAATTCAATGTAAGTAGGCAAGCTTTGTATGCACCACTACTTGAGGTTAGATTATTAGGGTGCATGAGAACACTAATTTGATTATACTGTCGTAATAAAACCTTTCTGTTTACTCTCAGATCATACATCTTATATTTCTGTTTTAGTTTCCTAAAAGCAAAAACACCAATTATTTATGATCAAGGCAAACAAAATTTAGCTGCTATTACATAATGGGAAAAAATAGAGTAAGTGGGGAAACAGAAATAGTAGATATTGTCAGATTACTCTATTCCACATTATCTACACATTTAGTGGAGGTGAGCTGTTAATTCATATTCAGGTGGAAGGCCCCTGTTTGGTGGCCTTAAATTTAATTTACATCAATTTATTTCTCATCTCATTTTCAACCACACATTCATACGGTAAAATATTCTACACGTAAACCCAAAACTTTTTCCTACTTTTTAACCGCACATTCTCCAAAAAATACTATTCAAAACATAATTTTTCACAAATTGAAGGCCACCAAACTGGGTCCTAATATCATTTAGATTAATTGAGCATGTTTGGCTAAGTTAAAAAAAAATAAAAATGGAAGTACACTTTTGGAAATAAGATTTTGAAGTAACTCAAAAAACTAACTTCTGAAATAGCTGCATATTTGGCAAAAAATAGATAAGTATATTTTACTTTTCTTTAAGCTTAGCCAAGTATGCCCTATGTTGGGGGTTTTTCTTCCTCATAACCATAGCTGAGATTATATTGGCTCGGCCTTACTAATAATGCCAGGAAAATTGTGCCTAAATCTTGGGGTCCTCTCTAAGGGAAACAAACAATGGATGGAAATTTGACCTCTCATTATGAATATGCTGAAAAGATAAAATGTATTCATAGATGCTTGGAAGTCATCTTTTTTATTCTATTACGAATGAATCATTTTCTCCTCTCAACTCTTGTTCTTCTGTACAAAGAAGATTGATGATAATTTGGTTTCTCCTTTGGTTTTGCAGCCTGCAATACTTCCAGTCCAGATTCTGAGGATTGGGCAGCTGGTCATTCTCAGTGTACCCGGAGGTAGAAACTTTAACTTATTTTTAGCTTCTATACCACACTGTCCATTTATATGATTGAACTAGCTGTGCACATACTGTTCTTATTTTTATGCCCTCAAAGTTCCATAAAATTTTAAGTCGATCACAAAGTTAACGTGGACTTCCTTGAGTGAAAATATACTATATGCTTTTATTATCCTAAGATGAGTAAAATTTGAAGGCATTTTTTATGATGACTAATATTTTATTGTTCATGAATGTTGACGTTATGATTTTACTCGACAGAATTCACAACGATGTCTGGAAGACGGCTCCGAGATGCTGTGAAAACAGTGCTCACAAGTGGAAGTAGCAAAGAATTTGATGCAAATGTTCATGTAGTAATAGCGGGCCTGACAAATACATACTCCCAATATGTAACAACCTTCGAGGAGTACAAGATGCAGAGATACGAGGTCAGTGACTTGATCATAATAAGAAGACAGTAAACAGCACGTGGTCCAAAATTTTACAGAATGAAATGAACAACTTCAATAGCTAGTCGACAACCATTGCTGTAATGTTGAAATATTGACTCCAGTAAACTAGAAAACTAACTCTGCCTACACATTTGAAGATTATCTCAGGCCAATTAAAACTGGCAATCATATATGTTGCAAGAATTGGAGGTTTTCCTCTAATACACAGTAGCTAGCTAGTATCCAATTTGTAGAAAACAATGTGGATGGATCTGAAGAAAATGAAAACTGGTTACATTTTGGAGAACTAAAATTAATTCCTCCTAATGGGTCATAAAAATTCACGTAGATAAATTTCTCACCTAATGTTTTTTGCAATCCATGACATGTTTTCGTTCTTTTGCAGGGTGCCTCAACACTATTTGGTCCATATACTCTCAGTGCCTACATTCAGGAGTTCAAGAAGCTTGCAGCGGCCCTTATCAGTGGACAACCCGTGCAGTCGGGTCCCCAACCCCCAGATCTACTAGACAAGCAAATAGGCTTACTAACACCAGTCGTGGTGGATGCAACTCCTCCCGGTGTGAACTTTGGTGATGTTAGCGTTGATGTACCCAAGAACTCGACCTTCAAGAGAGGTGTCAATGTAACAGTTGTTTTCTGGTCAGCGAACCCAAGAAATGACCTCATGACTGAAGGTACATTTGCTCTCGTGGAGATTCTTCGAGGGAAGGATTCGTGGGTTCCTGCTTATGATGATGATGATTTTTGCCTTCGATTTATTTGGTCGAGACCTGCTAAACTTAGTCCTCTAAGTCATGCAACCATAGAATGGAGAATACCGGGAACAGTTGCTTCAGGTGTATATAGAATAAGGCATTTTGGTTCTGCAAAGAGCCTTCTGGGGTCGATCAAGCATTTTACAGGTTCTTCAAGTGCTTTTGTGGTGGCTTGAGACTGGGGTCTTAATCTACCATTCTGCATCTAAGTTATCATATAATAATATATCCGTAGGTATTAATAGACTTCGGTCGAAATGCAATTTTCTATTTATTATTTTCATGACTTTTGATTTGTTTTCTGTCAAGAACTAGAGATTGGGGAAGGTATAGTAGAATATTTGTGCAACTCTTTCTTATATTTTAACAGCAATATATGTTACTCCTGTTTCTCCAAGCAAATGGGATTATTTTTTTCCCTCTCATCAGCTAAATTCAAGATCCCATTGCATACAAACACGTTACTTTTTAACATAATTGTAAAAAGAGGCCGTCGATTAAAAATGAAGTGATGCAAAAAATTTAAATTGGAACTCAAATGTTACGAAAAGGTAACTGGAATCTAATGTATTATTAGCTCTTTGCACATTCCTTTTAATATAAAGGAAGAGTGATGGGGACAAAGGGTATGTCATAACCAAGAGAAGACGGAACATCAATATGGATAGTTCAATTAAAACTGGCAGGAAATCTATAACATTAAAAATTAAAACAAAATCAAGGATATCTACAGCAACTAGATGCTGAGGTGAAACCCCCTGGAAATAATCTCAAGGCTTAGTGTCTTCATCACTCTCTTCTATCTTGGGTGCCAAGTAGAACCTGATATAACCCATCTCAGAAATCTTGTACTCGACTACAACTGGAAGCTCCGATGACAAGCTGATAGTAACCATGTTCGATAATGGAGTTGCCTTGGTGAAGGAGTTCAGGTACCTCAGAGCAAATGTCAGTGATACTGGCTCATTCATCTCTATGATTGTTGCATCCTCTGGCTGCATATTAGAAAATAAATCATTCACCATCATGCCATTACCAAGGGAGTGACAACAACTTCACAACAGTTTGCATAATATGAGGCAGAAAGGCAACTGTACCTTGTCCACTGTTGTATTTTGCCTGCAAACAACATTTGCTGTCCCAATGTCTCNATAACCCATCTCAGAAATCTTGTACTCGACTACAACTGGAAGCTCCGATGACAAGCTGATAGTAACCGTGTTCGATAATGGAGTTGCCTTGGTGAAGGAGTTCAGGTACCTCAGAGCAAATGTCAGTGATACTGGCTCATTCATCTCTATGATTGTTGCATCCTCTGGCTGCATATTAGAAAATAAATCATTCACCATCATGCCATTGACAAGGGAGTGACAACAACTTCACAACAGTTTGCATAATATGAGGCAGAAAGGCAACTGTACCTTGTCCACTGTTGTATTTTGCCTGCAAACAACATTTGCTGTCCTAATGTCTCTTGTCGAGAATTTTACACCTTCCTTTGTCACGGATATCACAACTGCAATCAACAATCAAACCAAAGGACAAAAATATCCACATGATTGCACATTATAACAGTGTGTTATTAGCATCATATATTAGTTCTCGAATGTCCCCAGTGTATGCAAATTGTTGTGGATGAGGGTAACTTAGTTAGGACTGACTTAAATATTTACCCATACTGTATTAACCAAGAAAAATTATGGGGATGGAGAGGCGGCGAGGAAGTCATTTTGAATTGCCAATTTTCTTATCTCTGATCGCCTGTGTCACAATACTGCTAATATCTTTACAAATTCTTGCAAACTCAGTCGAAGGCATCCTAACTATTGCATGGTACTCAGCTTCAGGAATTCCAAGATGCTCACTGTCAATGTCCGTGAGCTTCATCTCAAAATCTGAAATCTTATCTTGTGCTGTAATCCATAATCGCAATACCGAAAAACATAGGTCAGCATATAAAAATGAAATCTACAAACCCGAATGTCAGAAAAATAAAAACACGATCCTGAACCAAGAATAAACCAGGACTGCTCATCAATCAGATTCAGAATCAGAAGATAATGTATTAAAAAACCATTGATAATTAAAGATAAAGACTGGAAAATAATAACATCAGATCTCTACTTGGTTAAACTTGCTAGAAAACTTAGAGAAGTAACACAAGAATATAGGGAAATCCATTAAGTGACTCCAAAATCCACATTATTAGCCTTTGGCATTGTAGTTCAACTGTCATCAAAAACCTTAAACGTAAAGGCATCAATTAACCTTATACAAGAAAAAAAATGCTAGTTTCCGCCTTAGCTAAACAACTCGTATTTTCAAAATCATATTTGAGAGAAAATCACCTTTACAAAAATTAAAATCCATAAAAATTCTCCGTTAAAAGTTGATAATTTAGAAAATTCGAAAGAGGGGAGCAAAAGCAACTGAACTACATGCTAAAATTCACATTAATGTACCAATTTTCTTCAATTAACCAAATTAGTAATTGCTCACGTTACCAAATTATTTTGTATCTTAAATCTTAAATGTCATTCCTGAAGCAAAATGTAATGATTGATTAACTCTTCAATCAAAACCAATTAATTCCAACAATTCACAGAGAAATTGAACTCGTAATTAACTAAATCAGCTGAAGACAATGCCAAATTGAAACGGCATTTCACTGAATTTTATTGAATGAAATGCAGAAGAGTAGAATGAGAAGGGAGAGAGAGAGAGAGAGACTTGCAGAGAGATACAGAGAGAAAATGGATTCTGACACTCAACAACAAACTCTCCTATCCACTCCTCTAGTTTAAGTAGTGCAGGAAACGTGTCTTCAGTTTTATAAAAACGTGAATAAGCTAAATAATTAAGCTAAAAACGTGATAAGCTGAAACAATTAAATTGGAGACTAAACGGTGTCGTTTCTTTCAGGTTTGAAATTCTGGTAGAGCCGTTGAGTCCTCTTCTTCTTCTTCTTTCCCCAGGCCGTCCCTTCCTGTGATTATAACAATCCTCCCCCTCAAATCGACCTTGTCCCCAAGGTTGGAAGTCAAGAAACTGTGTCTGAATCGTAGCAGCATCTTCCCAAGTCGCATCGTCCCTGGAAGCATTCATCCATTGTACCAACCATTGAGTGACAGTCTGGTTTTGACGTTTGACGATACAGCTCTGCAAGACTGCTTGAGGTGAGCCCTGTTGTTGTCCTGGTTCTTCAACATCTGGAATAAGTAGAATAGGTACCTCTCCGTCGCCTATCTTTTTCTTAAGCAGTGAAACGTGGAATATAGGATGGATTTTAGAATTACTGGGGAGTTCCAATTCATAAGCTACATGCCCTATCCTTTTGATAACTTGATAAGGTCCATAGTATTTGGCAAACAATTTGGAGTTGACCCGTGTTGCTATGGATTGTTGTTTATATGGTTGGAGTTTCAAATATACCCAGTCTCCTATTTGGAACTCCCTTTCAATCCTGTACTAATCAGCGCAGAATTTCATCCTTGCTCTGGCTTCAGCCAATCGATCCTTGAGGAACCAGTCTATGCGATGCCTTTCTTGCACCAATTCGTCTACTGCTGTGATATTAGTAAGTTGATAAGGCCCTAAGGCCAGATGTGGTGGCTTGATACCATACAAAGCTTCTAACGGGGGCATCTTGATGGCTATATGATAGGTGGTATTATACCACCATTCAGCCAATGACAACCAGGTAGCCCGCTGCTTAGGTTGATGAAAGGTCATGCAGCACAGGTATATCTCCAAACTTTGGTTGAGCCTTTCTGTTTGACCATCCATTTGGGGATGATACGCTGAACATAGATGCAGTTCAGTCCCCAAGATTTTGAACAGTCCTTGCCAAAATCTACTGATCAATATCTTGTCTCTATCTAATACTATGCTCTGAGGCATCCCGTGGAGCTTGTAAATGTTGTCCAGGAAGAGCTTGGCTATAGTGGAAGCTGTGGAAGGGTGGGCCAAGGCAAAGAAATGCCCAAACTTTGTGAACCTTTCTACTACAACCAGGATCACTGTCTTACCCTTGGAAGGAGGTAGCCCTTCAATAAGATCCATGGAAATGTAACTCCAAGAATACTGTGGCTCTGGGAGGGGCTACAATAAACCCGGGTAGGGAAAATGTTCCCCTTTACATCTTTGGCAAACGTCACGTTGTAGCACCCTTCTTTTGATGTCCTTGATCATGCCAGGCCAGAAGAAATGTTGATTAGCTCTATAGACACTGGCTTGTATGCTTGAATGGCCACCATTTTTTTTAAGAATGAATGTTCTGTATTAGCTTGGATCTAATCTGACCTCCTGACCCTATATACAACCTTCCTTTGTATTGTAGTAGCCCATTTTTATAGGATTATTCAGGTACCTCTCCAGGCGTGACTAGTTGTTCTTCAATCAACTGGTTGGCCACTTCATCTCCCTGATAGCTATCGATCACCTCTTACACCCAAGTAGGAATAACTTGTGATATAGCGATCACCTTTGCCTCTGATGCTTCCCTCCTTGATAAAGCATCTGCCACAATGTTTTCAGCCCCCTTTTTCTATTGGATTTCATAGCTGAGCCCAAGGAGCTTGGTCAGCCATTTCTGTTGAAGAGGGGTGGTGATTCTCTGTTCCAACAGGTATTTCAAAAACTGATGATCGGTCTTAATTATGAAGTGGTCCCTTCCAGATAGTGCCTCCATTTCTCTACTGTTGTGACCAGTGCTAGCAATTCCTTTTCATAGATGGATAGCCCCAACTTCTCTTTGCTTAGGTCTCTTCCCTTGCATCAGTATTGCTCTCATCCCTCTAGCACAAGCATCTGTTTCAACAATGAATGGCTGGTTGAAGTTAGGTAATACAAGAATTGAGGTGTTACACACAGCTGTTTTCAATGCCAGGAAGGCTGTCTCAGCATCTTCATTCCAACTGAAGCTATCTCTTTTTAGAAGATCTATTAGGGGTTTAGCAAGAACCTCATTCCCCTTGACAAATTTTTAGTAGTAGCCTGTTAAACCAAGAAAACCTCTCAACTGCTTCACAGTCTTGGGCCTAGGACATTGTTGCAAACCACTCACCTTTTGTGGGTCAGCTGACACCCCTGCAACTGTTATAATATGTCCCAGGTATTCTAACATGGGCTGTCCAAAAGAGCATTTATACTCCTTGGCATATAACTTCTGTTTTCT